TAATACTGGTTCTACAAGCTCCTCCACGCCTTTCATGTCTGCCCATGAACAAGATACCGAGATTGATTTTAAAATGAAGATAACAGCTGGTGTTGCTGAAGTTATCCCAATTTATCTCTCTAGTTATGCTGCTTTAACCTTAAGCTGCCCTAGAACATCTTCCATAATTTTTCATTAATTTATTTACCACAGAGACAACTTCTCTGTGTGTCTAAGTCGCTATCCTGTTCACCCTGCTTCTATTTTTTTTCTCTCCACTGTTGGCCTTTCTGTATAAATTTGCATTCAGTTAAGCAGTATCTATCAGCAGGACCCACTGCTTCAGTGCAAGCTGCAGTTCAGAGAAATTGTCACGGTTTTATCTAAAGCTCGGACCCACATGCAAAGAAACCAATTCAGGGAGACCAGGGGAATATTTAACGGGTTTTATTGAAGAGATAATGCACAGTGCAGTGTTGCTCTGAACTCTGCTCAGCTGGAACTGGAAGGTGAGGGGAAGACACAGCGATTAGTTCAGGCTCAGTGGGAAATTTCATTCGTGGATTTGGAGAAGAGGATCTGGTTGTTGACTCACGTTTCCAGAGAAGTTGTAGAATCTTTGACTTCAATCTGTGTGCTGTATTCCAGTGTTAATCTGATTCGGTGGAGGGCGGAACAGGGTTTACCCAGAACACGGTTGTAGGTGAAAGAAGAAGCTGACTGCCACTCAGATTTCCTTCGGTACAGGTCGTAGTGGAGATGATTCCCTTGCTCAGTGTGTAAACTCAACGTCCTCTCTGGGAAACTGGATCCAAACCTCCAGAATGAATCCCCAACTCAGTTTGAGGCTCAGTTTATCCCTCCAGGGAGTGAAGGTCCGAAAGATCCAGTTTGCAGGATGACTTCCTGCCAAGAGGCAAAGACAAAAAAACAAAGTTTAAACTCAGGTTGACAACAACTCAGTCTTACGCAGCAAAAACTCAGCTTGGCTAGAGTACCCAAACCTGGCAAACACTCTGGCGTCGAGGTAGTGGCAATCAGCAGCTTAAGAGCACTCCGTTAACGAGGTTACGATCAGCAGGTGTGTGAGGAGGCTAACCAGAACCAAGCGCCTCCTGTTGGAGGAAGGGAGACAAACACAAAAAAAAACAAACACACAGACTGGAGCCCTGACAGAAATACTATAGGTTATGTTTTTATTCTAAGGTAATTTAAACTTTGATAGACTTTACCATACCACATTTTTGTGCAAGTTTACCAGAAGATTGTACATATATTTAATAACTAGAACTGGAAGTTATAGTTAATAGTCATTAGAGTCTTGTTGATTATAACTGTAATTTGCTTACTCACCAGGGTTCTTGGTCCCTGTTTGACAAAAACACTGCTGGGATTAGGGCTGGGTACCGACCGAAATGCTTCGGTTCTACAGAGTATCGAAACATGCCTCGTCTTTCGGTACCAAGTTTCGGTGATTGGCTGTAACACTTAACGTGATTGCGTCATCCAGGAAAAATACACAGGTGGTCACGCCTACAGCCAGGGTTCATGTGTATCTGTTGTGAACTGGTTGCGAGCGTCATGGAACCCCTTTAAAATGCCCCCCAGGTCAAAAGAGCGGCTTCACTTTATTAACACTGATGCCAATAGTGCGCAATGCAATACATCGTGCACAGAAACAATTTAAGTGCAGAAAGTTGCTCGGTGTTTTACTGCAAGAAGAGCGGACAGCAGCCAGCGCGACCATCCTCCTCTCAGCAGCCCGTGGGCAGAGCAAAGCCAGAGCGGAGTGAGCAGTGAATCATGCTGCTTTCAAACTGGACGCAGCAGGAGCAGCAAAATCACGTCTGCTGCTTCCTTTTTGCTGCTTGTACCAGCTTATGACGCGCTGCTGAAGAAGCTTTGCTGCTCTGGCTGCGCGGTCGAAAAGTGGCTCTGACGCGCGTTGGGCGGAGCTACTCTATCCTTTATTTGCCTTGCAGCTATATTTGCTGTGATCAGTGGGAATAAAGTAGTTTTATTATGTTTTTAAGTGGGAAAATCCGACTGAAAACTTAATCAGTGCAGTCAGTTCATCCTGCCTTCCAATATTTCTGTCGGAGCCACTCAGACCCCCACATACCAGCGGTGCGCTGTCAGTAGGATCCCATTCAACGGGCTTGTTTGTCTCCTGAGAAAGCAGACATGTTAATTTTTCTAAAGGAAAACTGCGTCCTCACAATGTAACAGTGAATATTAGACACTGATTTTTTTTTTTTTTGTAAGAGGAAAAATGTAAATGGAAAAATCTGAGCTTAAAATAAAACTCAAGATTTGTACTTTTTTATGTTTTGTAATTTTCTTTTTCTTCGAATTGATATTATAAAACTGGTATCGAAAAAAGTATTGTTCAGGAACCGGTATCGAAGTGAAGGTATCGGTATAGGGCTTGGTCGTCATGATGTAAGCACTTTGCTTTGCCGCCATATTGACGGCCTCGTTTACCGCGGCTCAGACTACTGCCTATGACTACCGCATACTGTACTCCTTCTCAGCCTGATTAATTTCACCTTAACTTGATTTCAACCATGGTAAACTGTTGCTGTATTGTGGGCTGTAACAGCTCAACACATGATCGCCATGGGAAAAACATAGAAAATGGGTTAACTTTCCACCGCTTTCCTGCCTGGAGGCGTAACCATGGAGACCAAGCGTCAGAGATAAAGAGTCGTCGGCTAGCTTGGATCGCGGCTGTAAGACGACCGAACATAACTTTTCACAGTACTCCAATGTCATTGAGAGTGTGTTCCCTGCATTTTCATTCTGGTAAGTTAAAGATGCACGGTTTTATTTTATAGCCTACTTTGTTTCTTTCCCTCAAAGTTGGGATCTTTTACGGGAAAAAAAAAAAAAAACGGCAGCGGGAAAAGGCTCAAATACGTGAGAAACCCGGAGGGTTGGCAGTTAACGTTACTAACTACACCTTTGAAACACATAGCAGCTAGTTAAAAGTACATTACATGCGTGAGTGGTTGTTAGCATTAGCGGTTAGCAGTTGCTAAACTAGCAGGTTCCAGAGCCTGTCTGATCACAGCTTATCTTCGTACGGATTACTGTGTTCCCACTGTTTGCTGGCTTTATGATCTGCAGCTCCTGAACCCATCCATTCGTGAACTGCATATGAGACTCCAAGGACTTGTAGCTTGGGAACTGTTTTGAAGTATAGGCGCTCGGTGCTCCACTCATTGTTTGGAACTTCATATGGATCCAAATTATTAATAATGCTGATTTTGTCAACATACCAGTCCGTGGCTTCTCTATTTAATGTGTCCTGGTAAATTCCAGATCTTTTTCGGGATTTTGACATCTTTTTTCTCTCTACTTCTACGTCCCTTCTTTCAACAACAACGTTGTATCAGAGCTATGTTTACGTTTGCGTAGCCGTCAATATGACTGCGACGTCCCACAATGCAACGTGGATCCCGAGCCCTATTGGTACCGGAACCGAAAATTTTTGAACAATACCCAGCCCTAGCTGGGATGATTAAAGTCTGACCACCAAATGACTGTCACGTAAGCCCCTTGAAGACAGACATTTGCAGACCGCGATTGTGTGTGCAAACTCCTTCTGAAAGGATTATCAGAGGACGATGATGCAAGCATACCAAACACCAGGCCACCATGCCTGCGGATGAGAAAACAGAGTTTTCAACTTGGTTAAACAGCTGTGCTGCCACTACCAAAGCTGGGATCATTCCTGTGAGGAGCTAGCTTCACAGATTGTTTTAGAGAGTGTGCCAGAAGGGATGCCTTCTGACAAAGCACCTGGTGAAAAACTACAGGAAACGTTTGTGCTCTAGACTTGCAAACAAAGGCTACTCTACCAAATATTAACATTGATTTTCTCAGGTCTTCAAACACTTCTTTACAGTTGTATCATACAAATAAATTGTTAAAAAAATCACATATTGTGATTTCATTTTTTTTTTTTAGATGGTGTCGCTCAGAATGGACACACCTACAATGACAATTTAAGACCCCTTCATCATTTCTAAGTTGGAGAACTTGCAAAATAGCAGGGGGTTCAAATACTTATTTTCCTCACTGTAACTATCAGAAGATATCAACTTAAGGTCACCAAACAGTTCTAAAAAAATTTTTAGGCGAACCCTTGTTTATCCCTAGAGAGCCACTTCACCAGCTTTGCACCTTACATGGAGTTTTGAGTCCTTCTGTCTAGTTTTTTCTGAGTCTTTTTACTGATGCCATCTGCAGCGAATGGTCTTACTTTTTGTTGATTAGCTTGGTTTATGTAACATTCACTGAAACAAAACACATTAAAGCCCTATTTTTTTTAAAACCTGGGCATGAACCAAACATTTATTACAATGATAAGCTTAATCCAAATCAAATTAACTGATTAACACACTCACCATAACACAGGACAGCTGCGACCAGTTGTGACAAAAAAAACTTCCAGTTCTTTCTCCTCTGTTTTAATTAAAAGTATTACATTCTTCTCCTCATCTATATTTTAATAGCTGCAAACCAGCTAGCTCTTAACTGTTGGTTCTGCTCATGTGTTTTTTCTACAATAAAAGCAGTTTACACACAACCCCTCATTTATAAAACGTAAAATCTGGGAAATTTACTGGGACGGCTTTAGCCGGGGACAGGTGGTCCTAAATGGGGAATGTCGTCGGAAATTGGGGACGGATGCCTTTATCTGGGACACACTGTGTAATAGTTTCATATGGCTGGAGCCAGGGGTCCAAACATTTACAAATGTGTATGATGTAAGGTTGTTTAAGAGTGTCCTCTACGATGCTAATTGTTTTTCTACAAATATTCCTCTTTGTTCTAACTGTGTATCCTGAGCCGGCGGTCCCAACAAATTTTTTTTTTATTTTTTATTGGCATAATACTTGATTCTTATAGAAAGTGGACCCATTCGTCACTTTACTCTATGATCAGCGGATTGATCTGAATTTAAAGCCGCTTTTAGTCTTCGCGCACAGTACAAGGAAGGAAACAAGCCATGGTTCAGTTTTACTACAGCTGGGTTTATTCCATAAGTAAAAGAATTCACTTGAATTCTTCAATTCAAGCATTTGTTTATAAAAACGGAGATCAGACAGTTACCAACTCTTCACATATAGCTTTGTTCAATGCTTGGAGCCACAGCTTGTTTAGTTCCAGGATATAGGACCATATGATGGTCAGGTGCAGACCTCCACTCAACCATTACAGTACATGTGGAAATGTCTAGACACAGGGGGAAAAGGAAACCTACAGAAAAACCACCCAAAATGACAGTTCAAAATTTCTTTGAAGAATAGTCACTTTGTTTTTTTCTAACCATGAACAAATATAAATCCAACTTAGAATGTGCTGTTTAATTTAAAAATGAAGTGGGAGGAACCCTCCTTCACCACTGCCCTCAGTAGGAAATAAAAAAAAAGAACTTGTCACGGTTTTATCTGTTTGTACCAATAGTGTTCAAATTGAGTACAGTAAGCAGACATGATAACCGCCATAACCTCATGTTCCTGCATCTGACAGCCAGGTCCAAAGTCACTGATGCAGCTTCTCTACATCTCTTGGATGTGTTATAAAGCTGGCCGTCCATTCAGTTTGTCATGCATTAGGGAGATTGCTCCACCTGTGAAGTCTCTAAGAACTTGCACTGTCTCCCTCTGCAGCTGCAGTGACTCGCGCACAAACTCCTGCTGGGTCTCTGCCAGCTGCTGCACCGACTCTGCCAGCAGCTCCAGGGAGCGTGACACAGTCTCCAGCAGCATATTGGTGGCATGCTGCTCCTGCAGGCTCAAGGAGGCGTTCTGCAGCAAGCTGTCCCTTGAGTTGTGTGGCTGCTGACCCGAGTTAGGCAGGGAGGCTGCAGAGGCCTGCAACGTGGAAGACATCTGGGGTTGCACAGGTTTATGGATGCCATTGTTAACTTGATGCATTTCAGCGGATTTCGCTGGCTGAGTAGAAGGAAGCACGTCTTCTCGCTGATCATCGTCTGAATCTCCAAATGGGGTTTCAGTATCTAAATGTACAGAAACAACAAGAATGTTGGTCAATTTAATGTTATGGAAACTCATTCACATCTTAACCAAATGTTTAAGTAAAAACAATAAATTACCTTCTGCTGGAGGGACCTCATACTGGAAATCATACGCAGGCTGGGATGAGTCGCCTGAAAGGTTATAAAGTAGCAGTCAGTCATGTGAACATCTCATCTTAATGAAGATTTCATTGACGAGAATTTAAGCAGATGTTTGCCTGCTGAACTGAGACATCAGATACAAATAAAAACATAATGTCTTATGTCTTAAAACACAACAAACCTCTAATTGAAGGACTAGGATCATTAAAGGCATGTTCAGGGTGATGAAGCACAACTTTAAGGTAGTCCTCAAGTACAATATTCAGATTTATTCAGAGGAACATCATATGATGCTGCGAGCTGGAAGCCACACCCTTTGGGTCCCTGACCCAAACTGCCAGTTGTGACAGAGCTTGGGGTAAGTGGTTTCAGTAATATTGGTATTAATGTGATGACAATAATCCATAATTCAATTCAAAAATACTTAATTAAACCAAAAGGGAAATTAAATGTTGCAGTAACTCATAAGTTACTTCATAAGCAGGTGTTGATAACTGTAGGCAGGAAGGATCTTCTGTAGAGGTTCGTCTTGCACCGGATCAAGAAAAGACGCGTTTTGAGTCTGGCTTTGAATAAGAGGAGAGAGTCAATACTGCGGCGGTTGGGAGGAAGTTAGTTCCAGAGCTGGGGAGCAGAGCGGCTGAAGGCTCTGCTCCGCATGGTGACAAGTCAAGCTGGGGGTACACTGAGGTGGATGGAAGACGAGCAGGATCTAAGCGAGCGGGAGGAGGTGGCAATGTGAAGGAGGTCTGACAGATATGGAGGAGCAAGGTTATGGATGGCTTTGAAAGTACAGAGAAGGATTTTAAACTGTATTCTGAATTGAACTCGTAGCCAATGGAGTTGGTAAAGGACAGTCAGTGCAGTCAGTTCATCCTGCCTTCCAATATTTCTGTCGGAGCCGCTCAGACCCCCACATACCAGCGGTGCGCTGTCAGTAGGATCCCATTCAACGGGCTTGTTTGTCAGACATGGTAATTTTTCTAAAGGAAAACTGCTAAGTAAAAAAGTCCTCACAATGTAACAGTGAATATTAGACACTGATTTTTTTTTTTATGTAAGAGGAAAGATGTAAATGGAAAAATCAGAGCTTAAAATAAAACTCAAGATTTGTACTTTTTTATGTTGTGTAATTTTCTTTTTCTTCGAATTGATATTATAAAACTGGTATCGAAAAAAGTATCGTTCAGGAACCTGTATTGAAGTGAAGGTATCTGTATTGGTACCGGAACCGAAAATTTTTGAACAATACCCAGCCCTACCCAGAGGACCAAAGCTTCCTTAGAAAATACAATGATGTTGTTTGTTGAGTTTGTCCAAAAGAGGCTCCTGTCTCTCTATAAGAGAAACCTCTGTGCAGATTTTTTTGTAGGTTAATATATATTTATATTTGTTTATATTTTATTCTATATACAGGAAGAACCTCGGGTCAATTTCCTATAATTATAGAGACTGGTATAAGACCAGCATGGATTGGGGTGGGGCCTATGGTTTAATATCAAAGCAGAAGAAGCAACAGTAAAAAGAAGAAAAGTTTGATTTGTATTATTTGCCTACCAGCTGGATGAATAAACCCTCCCATACAATCTTTAAGGTGGTGGACGTTTTGCCTCAATACAAAACAAAACCCCAGTGCAGTAGTGGCTTTTTTGAACTTTGAGAATGCTCGATATGGTTAACAATTGCCCCTACAAATACTTTATTATGGAGGAAGAGCAACAGCTCCTATAGGCAAAGGTTCGTAAATATAAACAATATCCTGTGATTTAGCCCATCAATATCATCACAATCAACAGACTGAAAAACTCTTGGAAAGAAATTACTGTCACTCTAAGATGACACGAAGATGCTTTGAAAGCGTGATGGGCTGTTTTCTACTTTCTCATGCAGTTTGGTGTTGTAAGCCTGTACTTTGTTCTGCCCCTCTGAAGTCAGCCTGGATATTAGTTAGAGGGTGAAAAGAATAAATTTCCCTTTGAGCTTAATAAATTACTTTTGAACTGAATCATGTTCAAGGTATCCATTAATCAGCACATCTAACATGGAATACAGAAGCTGAAAGGAAAAGTCCGGTCATATTCAGAATTCAAGCTTCTGAAAGTACTTTAAATATAAAATTATTACATACTGTTCAATAAATGATAAGTGTTTTTAATTAAGAGCTATTTAATTTGAATGTGCTTTACTGGAGGCATCTATGTTTGTCAAAGAACACTACTGCCACCTACAGGTTTGTGACGTCACGGTGCGGTATCGGCTGTTGATCAAGTCCCAGTGCTGTATCTGGTGTTTATCCTAGTCATCTTGAAAACATTCTTCTTCCAAATGTTGGCTACATATTACGTGTTTTTTCTCTGGCCATAAGTTCGATGGCAAATCCTCCCTCTTCAAGTTGGCAATCCAACGACCAACCCGTCCGTGGAGGATCAGGAATCAGAAAGGTGGAATAACTCTTTTTTTTCACTTTTACCCGATGTATTCCAACATCCAGCTGCCATGCACGTGGGCATTGTCAGTTTCACTATAGCTCTGGTGAATTTCAATAATTGTTGTTGATTGCAGATGTGTCTAGTAGTTCCCATTGATTTAGCTTGTAAAGCGGGGAGAATGGCGCTAGGCTTACCGCACCGTGACGTCACTGCCGGAAGATGGCAGGAGGGAGGCGTTACTATATTTGGGCATAAATGGCCGCTCCTGGATTCAGTGATGGTGACAAAAATTATTTTTATTTTTTTCTGATTAACGCTAAATTCATTAAATCACCGCAAACGTATTAGTTTTAGGTATAAGTAATGATCCATTGATCATTACTTGCTAACTGGACCTCTCCTTTAAACACCATCAATTTAGCCTGTTCTAAGTTTGAAATGGTGATTTAAAGTCGAAACTTTTCTCTGATGCTTTCATTGATCTACAGCAGGGGTGTCAAAGTCATTCCAGAAAGGGCCGTGTGGCTGCTGGTTTTCTTTCCACCCAAGCAGTAGCACACCAGACTCCATTCATCCCATCAAGGTGAGTCTAGTCATCAGGTTAAGACTAGACTCACCTTGATGAGATGAATGGAGTCTGGTGTGCTACTGCTTGGGTGGAAAGAAAACCAGCAGCCACACGGCCCTTTCTGGAACGACTTTGACACCTGTGATCTACAGTAAATCATAGATTCATCTTTATTTAAAATCTCTGCCAAAACGTTTAAACAAAATTGATGAAGCCATGAAACCATTTTTATTTCTGTTTTCTGTATAATGAGGACATTCATACCGTAGGAAGGTGGGGGGCGCATGGATGCCAAGTCCACCCTGCCGTTAGGAGAACTCTGCATGCCCATCATATCCTCCTCTTCCATCTCCTCTTCTTCAGGATTATCATCATCATCTCCCAGCAGACCACATTCTCCAGTGCTCTGGTCGTCCTCATCCATCTCAAGAATCTGAAGGACGATCTTCTCTGTCTGACTGAGGTCTCTGGAGAGGCGTGAATTTAGCCCCCTGTTTGGTACAGTCCCTGACCGCATAGCAACAACTTTACGTTTGGTGTCACACTTTAGGTCAGACCATTTCTTGATGACCTCTATGACCTCACGTTGGCACTCCCCGATCTCGTTGACACGTGCCGTTATCTCTGCCCATGTACGCTTCTTTGTGTCCGTTGGTACTCCTCGGTTGAATTTGCCTTAAAAACAACAAAAAAAGGTTGTTTCAGCCTTAGTATTCAGGACACACACTATGCATCGAAAGGAGAAGGCCTAAAGGTGGCTGGCTAGCAAACACGTACCCACGACAACCGAACGATTCTTCCTGACTTCATCAAGCAGCACGTGGACCTCACTGAAAGAGAAACGAGCTTTCCTCTTCTTGAAGCGGATGGCGCTGTCATGGTTGTAGTATACTGGCGAAGACATCCTCTGAACCCAGTCCTGATGTGTCAAGCTGTTGTGTGGTCTCTGCAATGCTGCCCCTAGTTGTGATGAAGGGGAGCTACAGTCTGCTGGATTGCAAAGACAACATTAACTTTTCTCTTATACAGTCGATAGAAAAGGAAGAACATCTCTGTTAAAACAACATGGTGTGATGGTGTGTTTAAGAACAGAAAAGGAAAAATTTTCAAAAATCCTTTAATATTAGCTAAATAATAACATCAAAGAGACCATCAAACATTCCAAGGGGGGGAGGGATTTACCATTAGGCAGTTGCCATAAAACTCTGTTTACAACTATTTCTTATTTGTGCACATTAATTATGTTTTTCGTAAAAATTATTTCGCTATGCAGATTATGGCTTGTCTACAGTGAAAAGAAGGACTGGGTTATTTACTTTTGACCGTCACCTTTTTGGAAACATAGGAAGGAGCAATCAGCTAAGTGAGCTTAGTGCTTGGAAAAAATCTTTCATTCCTTTAGAGACAGCATAAAAAGTCAGCTGAGTACAAAACATAGGGAGGAAAACAAAAAAGAAAGGAACAACACCTAGAACAGATAATGGATGTCTATTTTATAAACATTTCTCTATCTGTATAAACTGCAGTAAAGTTGGCAACATATTCACAGATTCGCCTTTTCCGCATTAATAACTCGTCCACAGATGATTTATTCTACAAAACAGACACCTCTCCGCAACCACAGCAAGCCAGACAGTGAGCTACAACCAAACTTTCCTCAAAATGAGTCTCCTATCGCACTGGGAGGATTATATTGGACCCTATGCAGAGCTCGCTGCTCCGCGAATCATTAGGGGCCGTCTGCAAGTTACAACACCGTAGAAATAATCAGAGAGAAATATTCAAAAGCGTCAACAAGGAGAGGTGGGTTATTGTCAAATTCATTCCATGTGTATCTTATCTCATGTCTTACATACCACATTTATTGGATTTGAAAATAATATATTTTTTAGGACTTTTCCAAAGCCTAAATGACAAATGGAACCTCTATGTTATTATTAAAATAAGTATAAAATGTGCAATAACTACACTATAGATCACTGTAGTGCCACCAAACTTGTAGCACACATAGATAACTTCATCTGAAACATACTACAGTACAACTCTTACTTTTGGAATATGTACTATTTTTAGAGATTTTTTCTTTGTTATTATAAGCATATATTTATTATGAACTGCAGCCACACTCAAATCACTATGCACATCATTCACACTCTCCTGATAATAACTATTATTATATCAATTAAATAATAATTTATATTTATATGAGCTATTTTTAGAGATTTTTTATTGGGATAAATAATCAATAACTCTACCATTATGTACTGTACCATCACTAAAATCACTGTACACATAGTTCACACCCTACTGGTGATACTTTGAATGTTCAAAACAATGGAATATACTTACATTATTTGCTCTTTATATAAAGAGTCCAACGATATATCTATCTTTCTCACTGAAAAAAACATTAACAAGTCCTGCAACTAAAGACATTCTACGTTTTGTGGGATACATATATCAAATGGACCATCAAACCTTTTTTTTTCATTTATTCAACATTAAACAAAAACACGCAGTGATTATTCTAAGAAACATGAATACAAAACAGACAGACAAAAAAAAAAACTGTTCAGTGAAATCCAGTCACCCAAACTTAGTGGTCATATGATATTAATTCTGAACTATGAAACAAAATTTTAATAAGTTCTGAATAAAGTAAAAGAACTGAAATATTTATAAATAAATGAATAGTGCAAAAGAAACGGGTCTTGAGTATTTATTAATGAGGTTTACAGTGGTTTTGGTGAGGCTAGAGTACATAAGAGTATAGTTATTGATTACTTTTTCAAAATAATAATTATTCATAAAATATGAAAAAGGTATTTAATTTATATAATAATAGTTGTATTATCACCAGGAGAGTGTGAATGATGTGCACAGTGATTTTGGTGTGGCTGCAGTTCATAAAAGTGCTTATTGATAAATATATGCTTATAATAACAAAGAAAAAAATCTCTAAAAATAGAGTTTAGCACATATTCCAAAAGTAAGAGCTGTAGTATGATCCAGATGAAGTTATCTATGTGTGCTACAAGTTTGGTGGCACTACAGTGATCTATAGTGTAGTTATTGCACATTTTATACTTATTTTAATAATAACATAGAGGTTCCATTTGTCATTTAGGCTTTGGAAAAGTCCTAAAAAATATATTATTTTCAAATCCAATAAATGTGGTATGTAAGACATGAGATAAGATACACATGAAATGAATTTGACAATAATTCACCTCTCCTTGATGATGCTTTTAATTATTTCTCTCTGATTATTTCTACGGTGTTGTAACTTGCAGACGGCCCCTAATGATTCGCGGAGCAGCGAGCTCTGCATAGGGTTCAATATAATCCTCCCAGTGCGATAGGAGACTCGTTTTGAGGAAAGTTTGGTTGTAGCTCACTGTCTGGCTTGCTGTGGTTGCGGAGAGGTGTCTGTTTTGTAGAATAAATCATTCGCGGACGAGGTATTAATGCGGAAAAGCCGAATCTGTGAATATGTTGCCAACTTTACTGCAGTTCTGTGTGATGGGTCTGTTTTATGTGTTGTCTTCTCCATTCAGCGGGCCTCTTGCCTGTCTTTGCCTAGGGCCCCAAATTTCCTAAATCCGCCCCTGATTTTAATCCCTGAATAAAGGGCAAAAGAAATGTTCTGACTGACAGCAACTTGGAACACTTCATAAACATTTCCACAGATAAACCCCTCCAGCAGCATCTGAAGAAACTCCAGAGCATGAAGCTGCCACCATCTTCTTTGTTGTTTTCCTTCCGACTGTACTTTATTTCTACAGATAGCGTGGCCCTTTTATGCGCGGTTTTTCCGTGTTAGATGTTTTGGTTTTCGATAAAAATCCAAAGGTTTTATGCTAAGTTAAATATGATGTTAATTTTAGACCACATGAAATATTTTTGACAGGGCTGCTGAAGCACAAAAGCCGATTGTCGGAGAGGTTCTTCTAATGAAATAACTGAAGTGATCCGTTCAGTTTCGCAAACCAGCCGATGAGTTTTTGACTAATAAATAATCAGTGAGCTGGTTAAATTATCATCCATGTGTGAAGGGCTCCTCCTCATCATCATCATCATCATAGCTAACCCACCGGAGTAGCTATGCTAGCTCTGTCAGCAGCTCAGAACAATGACCGCTGAGTTTTAAGCCTTACATCAAGACCTTTGTCCGGATCGAGTCCTCATGATTAGATACCGCGTGTTTGCCTCCATACATCAAAGCAATAAACACGGACCAGGAGTTCATTTTCTGTGGCACCACAACAGCCCACGGAGCTAACCCACCTGCACTGTAGGCTAGCTACCTTACCTAGCTTACCTATTAAAGCTAAACTTCCAATTCCCGCCCGGTACCACTGTTTAATGTGTATGCTCATCACAAGCACAACTGACCCAAGGAATGACTTACCCACGGGAAGGTCGGAGAAGGTCGATTTCTAATTAGAAACGTCAGTAAAACTCCCTTATCCACAGCATAGCAGTGGTCAAGTTAGCAAGCGGTATCCTGCTGCTGTACAATTTATTTCCGGTAAACTAAAGTGGTTAACAGAATAAAGCACAATTAAATACCACCTCGTAGCATTATATCCCTTTATAGAGTTATTTTCCAGTGGAATTGGGGACTTACCACTAACTGCCATGTTATTACTGATTATTACGGTATTTGATGTAATACAATGTGTGGACTTTCACTAGTTTGAAATTTCCCTTAGTTTAAAGGAGCAACTGAAGCTCCAATTTCCTCTTAGTGCTCTTGAAGATTCAGCACTTAAGTATACAGGAAGCTGGTCAGTGATTATAATAATTATATATATCTATATATATATATATATATATATATATGGGTGATTCTTTAACTACGGGAACTGTTATGTCCTTTGATCATATTTCATGAAAAAGAAGGAAGGGACATTTCACACATTGAATAAAATATCAGTAAAATAATCAAATTATAATTGGAGTATTTAATGTCATATTCAGTTTCAATTCAATTCAGTTTATTTATATAGCGCCAATTCACAACACAAGTCATCTCAAGGCACTTTACAGTTCAACCAGATCATCCAGTCAAATTGATTCCAAGTTTTCTATCTAAGGAAAACGAGTTGATTGCATTGACTCATTGGCTACTTTTTCATGGACACAAATAATCGGATTGAAGGCCTGATCAGATCAAAAATGTTTCATGTAAACATGTCAGACTGAAGATTCTAATCCGATTCGGTCCGATCGGAAATAAATTTAATTCCGAAAGAGAGAGGTGGTTTTTGCCGATCGCCATTCTGATTGGCGTCCATGTAAACACCCATTCGGATCTTAAGAGTAAAATAATCTTCACTGCGCATGTGTGCGATGTCAGCGTGACGTTTTTCCGCCTTGTCAACAACAGGAAACCACCGGTCGCTCGCGCTCTTGTTGTGAACAACATGGCGGGAGGAGTCTAGGAACGCCGACTTATACACTCAAGTTCATTTAAAGCTGCAGGAAGCAGGAATTTATCCTCCTCCTCTTCCTCTTTTCTCTCTCCACAGCCTACTCGCTCTCCTACGCCGGTTCAATTGCTCATTCTCTACATTTTCTCTCAGACATTTCGCTGCCAAGCGCTTTTTTCCTCCTATCTCCATTTTTCTTTCCGCTCGCTTCGTTTGTCAGGCCTCCCAAAAACCAGACGCAGACAGAACTGCCAAGTTTGGCAGGAAGTTCTGCGCATGCTTAAAAGATTTAATCTGATCCAACACTTGGTACATGTATACACACGTCATGATCGGATCATTTAATTTAGTGTCCATGTAAACGGAGATTTTGAATCAACCAAGGTTTGGATCGGATCGGGGAAATTTTGCGCATGTAAACGTAGCTAATGACTCAAATACAATCCCTCACACTAAGCATGCTTGTAGCGACAGTGGAGAGGAAAAACTCCCTTTTAAAAGGAAGAAACCTCCAGCAGAACCAGGCTCAGTGTGAGCGGCCATCTGCTGAGGCCGACTGGGGTTCAAGAAGACAGAAGCAGAGATACAAAAAGCAGCTGTAGAAGGCGGCCCTGTCCAGGAAACACACAGCCAGGCAGACGAGCACCGAGCCAGCTTCCATGTCAGAGGATGAAGAGAGCACATCCAGCCAGTTAAGGTCAGAGAAACAGGACTATACTGGAAAACAGGCAGATCTCCAGCATCTATAAACAAGGGTGTTGATGGCAGCAGCACAGCTGATTTTTCTCTGCAGGATGGCGTCACAGCCAAACAGGAACAGACGAGGCAAAGCTACTCTGAGAAAAAGCACAGAGAGCAGAACGTTAGAGATTGAACTAACAGATTCTGCAGAGTAGGAGAATAGAGATAGAATAAAGCAGAATGATGAAAAGGGGTCCCTATGTCCTCCAGAAGTCTAAACCTATAGCAGCATAACTATAGAGATAGCTCTACAAGTTTTTATGGGATTTTCTAAACCAATTGTAGTTGTCCCACACTATTGTCATAATTTCCACCACAACAATGTAATGTCCCTTTAAAAAGTTTGTATTAAAGATTGTTTGGGTAGTTGCTATGGAGATGAACAGTGACATCACAGCACAAGTCTGACATGGTGGAAATTTTGACTTCATCCATCAACTTTTGAAGTAAAGCCAAGGTAAATATGGCTTGAAGTGAAAATATTTTTATTGTATGTAATTTCATCAACTCAGCTTGGAAATTGTTATTTTAACACACATAGATGTATTTTGTAAGCATAAAATGCTAGAGACCGTTTCTTAGCTAGTAATGCTAGAATAGATTTTCCCGCCAATTTCTGTCAGATTGTAATTTACACCACTGATTCTTGGGAATTTGGATAAAACAGGTTTTAATTTTGAAAATAAAAAGTTAGTTGGATTACAAAATCTGAAGGTATATTGTTATAGACCAAGGTCTTGGCTGTTCAGCAGTGTACAGGTGCAACCTCCTCATTTTGTATTTCTTTCATAAAATAGGCATTTTTCCAGTTATTACTTTGTTTTTGTCAACACCATCAGACACAATAAAAAGCTAATTATTTTTTATTTATTTGGTCTAATAAGTATTTAGAGTTTTTAAATCTTTATCTGGCATTGTTAGCACACATTTATGCTGTTAAATGTTGAATAATCATTTTTGTTAATTTTTTTTAACTGTATCATGTGTAGTCCTTTAAAATATCTAACATCAGATAACGTTTACTTTAAGCCTAAATAGAAAAAGTCATGTTTTTTTATTTAACAAACATATTTTTGTATTAAAAGAGACCATTACTTTAATGAGAGAACAGCACTGAAGAAACATATTGCAAGCATATTAATTTAAAACGAATAAAAAGCCCTCTGACGGTGGTGACTTTAGAACTGAAGGTGGTGACAGTGGCCTCATTTCAACATACAATTCCAAACTGTATACAATTCAAGTCAATGGTTTCTTGCTTATTAACTTTATTTAACTATTTGGTCCAAAAAATAACAATCATGAGCACTGTGACAAATATTTTTCAAGGAATATAAGGTACAATTAAGAAATATCATTATCAGTCAGAATCATTCTCTGATGCTTTATTTTCTTGCGTGTGATTGTGTCCTGTTTGTCAGTTGTCATTCGTGCTGCATTATGGTAGAAATTTTGAACCTTCTGAGTAATTGCTTGAATATATGTAGGTTTTTTGTCAGTAGGCCTTCACACTTCTTTTGATATTCCCTGTTTCTTTTCCTTCTTTCCTTCACAGATAGCTGCTTCCTAGCCATAACTTCCTAAAATACATAAAGTCAAAGTTGAGTGTAATGACTATGAAATTGGGGGGAATTACAGTAAATGTTAGATTTGGTTAAATGTTGCCCTGCCATAGCTTACAAGGAATATTGTATACTATGTGCTATGTAGGTAGGTAGTAGGTGCACTATGTGCATCCCAAATGATGTAAACCAAATGAACATGGCATAATAGTGAATTGAGAGACAGGGAAGGCACACCCCATCCCCTAGGGTTATACAATATGGAAGAAATCTAGGCGGAATTACATAAATAAAAATATAAAAGAGGTTAATGAAACATTACAGATCAACAATTATTTTCTAGCCTCCATTGAGAACCATTTGTAGTTTTTTGTCACCACCGTCAGACTGTGCGTCACCACCGTCAGACAGAAAATCTGACGGTGGTGACGTCTGACGGTGGTGACAAAATCCTACTCTTTCACATGATATGCATGAGTTGTTCACATTAGCCATCTTGTTTCCCCTCTGTTGCTAGCTACTTTAGACCTCTTCTTAAAAAGTAAACATTTATGTCATAATCTAATCTAATATTTTTTATACAAAAGAGACGGTGTTGACATGTTATGGTTGTGACATTAGCAGTGTCCAAAAAATATGAACAAGTTTAAGAGAAAATAGCAAACCTACAGGAGCTTGAGTGACCTTAAGGCATCCAGTAGAGCTGAAGATTTGAAAATGGGGTCCTCAGGCATGTAGTTGACCTTTTAGTTGCCTGATTTTATTGCTTTTTATAAATATCTGACGGTGGTGACAAATATGTGGGACACATTTTGAACAATCACAAAATAATGGTTATTATTGTTCAAAACTCACTGTTTGTAGTTTTAAATACATATTAAAATGTACCCTTTCATTTGGTAAAGATATTATTCAATTCAATTATTACTTTTTGTTTTTTTAATCAAGTTGAAATGATTATCTCCTATCCAAGGACAACTGATTTTATAGGCAATGGGCCAGCATATAATCATTAAATTAACAATAAAATAAAAAAACTTTAAAAGAACCTTGCATTTGTGCAAAGGACCCCCTGATGATAACCTTGATTGTTTTTATTCATGAAAATTTTATTTCTTTCCAACAGAATTAGCACTTTTCTTAGTGGGACATGTTTTTGCCGAAGTTTCAAGACACTAATTTCCAACCCATTTGGTTGAAATTACACTGGTGTGGTGGAAATTACATTTACGTGTGTAGGCGTAATTCATAGATACACATACAAGTCCCTTGTTCTCTCACATTTTCCTTAACTAATTTTTTTATTACAACAATGTGGTAATAGTATAAAATAACACTTTTTTTAGACAACTTTTCATATGTTTCTAAAATGCTAAGCATTTAGCGGTGGTGCCACCCCTTCTCTCCCACCTTTAATACCACCTATGCACAACAGCAATTCATTTATTATTATTTAATAATGTATTGATTTATCATTATTATTTATTTTTATGCTCCATAAAGTTTTTTAAAAAGAAAGGTTTTTTGACTGTATGGTCCATTCATTGTAATTTCCACAACAACCAGTAATTTCAACCACCCTGTGTAATTTCCAACACACCATTTGTTTTTAAATAAATTGTTGCAAAATTCTAATCACTGATTAAAACCTTCTTCACAACTTAAGAGATAATGTTCCACTTTAATTAAAAACACAAGTATTTACACCTTGAAATGTATCTTGCTATTTAAATGTTATATCTCAGGTTATGGTGAACATAAGATTTGCGTCTTGTCCTCATCACAATTAATTTACCTAATCCATAAAT